GGGGGGGGGGAGGGGCAGGCAAATGGGCGAGTGAGTGGAGGGCGGTCGAGTGGTCGGAGGGCGCGTGCCAGCCGGCGCAGAGGGAGCGTGAGTGCGACATACGTCTGGCTCCGGGCCAGGCAGTAGTTCAGGCAGTAGTGCACGAGGCCGAGCTTGTCGGCGGCCGAATGGTGCGTCCACTCGCGGATGATGCACCGCTTGATGGCGGCCGCCGAGTGGAACTGCGCCATGCTGTCCTGCGAGTTGTCTGCGTGCATGCAAGGGCGGCGGGTCAGCACCGGTGTCGTGAGGGGAAAGAGCAACGAGAAGGAGCAGGGGGCGCGGCAGGGGGCGCGGCAGGGGGCGCGGCAGGGGGCGCAGCCACACACACACCAAGGATGTACGTGGCGAGGGGGATGACGTTCGGGGAGTTCTGGAACTCGAGGATCACCTGGTCCGCGGCCGCACGAAGAGAGGGGATCTACATGTGCGCGCGCGCGTGCGCAGATGCGACCAGCCACGCCGGGGCGAGGGGGATGTCAGTGCACGTACGCGAGAACACAGAGCAGAGAGCAGAGAGCAGAGAGAGAGAGAGAGACAGCCGAGGAGCCAGCCAGACGCACCTGCATGTCGGCGCAGACATCCTCGATGCGCTTCATACCGGCCTCCATCTTGCCAAGAAAATAGTAAAGAGGGGCGGGCGCGGGGGAAAGACGAAGGAGAAAAGTGGAAGGGGGGAGGGGGGGGGGGGGGGGGGGAGGGGAGGTGGGGGGAGGAAGGGGCGACTGAAGAGGGGTGGCAAGCGGCTGGCGCCGGGCGGGGTGCCGTCGGGCGTCTTTTGAAGGAGGCGCCGGCCTCCCCCCCGGCCAGCCCGTGGATCGCCAATCCAGCTGTGTCCCGATGTGGGGGGGGGGGAACTTCGTCGGGCGGACCGCCGCCGCGGTGGGACGCGGACGACCCGGTGTGCGGTGTGCAGGGGGTGGGCGGCTGCCGGCGCCGCCCCGGGTGAGTGGGAAACAAACACAACATTCGTGGAGGGGCTTCTGATATGCGCATGCTTTGATCACGCCCCCTCCAGGTCCAGAACGGCTCCCGGCCCGGGAGCGTGATGTGCCGGCACGAGATTCCGGGCCTGTTACCGGTTAGCCAAGGACGTTGATAGGTATCCCCCGCCGACACGAAGCGCATCATCCCGTCCCCGCCCCCCGGCTGGCCTCGCGCGCGCATCAAGGGAGGTGGGCGCCCCCCCCCTCGGGCCCCGCCCCCTGCGCGCTTCACCACCCGATCGCCAGTAGTGAAAAAAAGCGGCCCCACCCCGCTTCGATGCGCTGGGGGATCTGCCACCCGGTCCCACGCATGCCTCGACCTTGCGTCACCACATCCCTCGCGGGGCCCCGCCTGGAGCGGGGGGGGGGGGGGCCGTCCCCGAGACGTGGGCGCGCAAGACGTAGACGCGCCAGTCCGCCGGCTCCCCCCCCCCCCCTTGGGGCTCACATCCGCGCCCTCCTGGCCGGACAGTCCTGCAGGATGCCAGCGCGGGGCTGGGTCTCGCGCCCCGGGGTGCGTGGGGGCGCGAGCGGACGGGCACAGGCGGGCGGGCCAGCGCGGATCGGCCGGACGGGGAGCGGGGGGGGGGGAGCCTGGCGCCCTTCTTACCGGGAATGCGTGTTCCCCGCGCCCCCACACCGCCCTGCCACCCTCTGTTATCCTCTGCCGCCCCTCGCCCTCGCCCCCTGCGCGGGCGTTCCCTCCCCCTTGCCGCCGGGCGCCTGCCCACCCGCGCCCTGGACTCGCGCCCGGCGGGGGGGGGGGGGGGGGGGGGGGGGGGGGGGGGGGGGGGGGG